GGGAGCTGCTGCTCACGGAGGTTCTGAGCATCCAGAGGGCTTGCCACCACGTTTGCACACTGTGGGGCGCAGCCAGGGCCCTGCCGTGCGTCTTTCCCGACACAGGTGCTGTCCGGGCAGGTTAAATATCGGGCCCACAGACCCTGACTCCTAGAAGGGCCATGGCTAAATCAAGCTCGTGTCTCCTGAGGACCAGCTGGTGTTGGCCATCCCCACAGGGCAAGCGGGAGTACCCAGGGTGGGGATGAAAGACGTCCTAACTCCTCTGACACAGGGGATCTGCATGCAGGAGGCCTGCCGGGGGGTGAGGTGGGGCCTTCAAATGGGGCTCTCTTGGGGGCTCCCGGTTCCCTCGACTCATGGAAACGTCCGCTGTGCTGCCAAATCAACTGCCAAATCTCACATCAACTCACTTCTTTGGAGCAGGGTCATAGAACTTGTACTGATCCATGATTTTTTCTTCCAGTTTTTCCTTATGTCTCCGTAAGGCATTTAATTTGTCTCTGTGGACAGAAAGGAAAGAAAAGCTCTCGATTCACAGAACGAGTGAACGTACTCTCAGCCCACACCAGGCAGAGGCCGCGTGTCTGAGGTTCAGACACAAAGGTCTCAACACCACTGCTGAGTGCAGATCACGGGACAGAAGAATCTGCCACAGGCTCAGGGAGCCTGGCCACCCTGTGGCCACCCCAGGGTCCAGCTGTGAGTGAGCTCGAGGGGAAAAACCTCCAGCCATCTGAACAGTCCTGCTCAGAAGGACTTGCAGGCAGGCCAGTTCAGGTGGGATGAAGGGCACTCCTGGGGGTGGGGCATATCTACAAGACCTAGGCACTAGGTCAGAAAGTCGGGCAGGGCTGGGTTGTTGCTCCATGGTAGAGCGCTTGCCTGGCACGTGTAGGGCACTGGGTTCAATCCTTAGCACCGCATATAAATAAATAAAATAAAGGTCCTTTGACAACTAAAAAGAATGGATGAAAAAAAAGAAAAAAGGTCAGCAGAACCCGACCTCTGCCCCGGGCCACTCAGAGGTGCCTGCTGACCCCTCTGGGGGCACACTCAGGAGCGTTCGGGGGCCAGGCAAGGAAGACAGAGCTGGACAGAGCTGCAAAGGCGGAGGGAATGAGGGGCCCGCGGCAGGCCTGGGGCCCCCAGGTAGCCGGCTCCTGCAGATCACTGCCACGGGACACAAATCCGGTTCTGGCGGGGCAACCCGGGTCTGGCGGGGCGACCCGAGCCAGGAGATGAAGCAGAATCACCGGATTTCCACATGAGAAACCAATTCACATTTTCAAAATCAACACAGGGCCAGAGACGACACCTGAACCCCAGCTGTTAACAGCACCTCTGCTCACCGGCGAGCCCAGGGTGCTTCTTTTAGCCTAGAAGCCTCCTGCGTGCTCAGTTCAGACTCCTGGTTTCCTTATTTGAAAAGAGGCCTGAAATGGGAGGTGACCACTCAGGCTTGTTCGTTCTCGAAGCTGCTGGGTCCCACCTGAGCCTTGGGATTTCCCAAGGAATCGCTGTGAGGTCCCACCAGGGGAAAAGGGACATGGGGCCTGGCCATCGGCTGTGCTGTGTCCCAGCTCTCCGTGCTACCCCTGGGCGGTCACTGTCCTCACAGCTTGCTACCTGGCTGGGCTGTGTCTGGCCCAGGGTCACACCCCCATACCAGGCCTGGAGCAGGCTCCCGGCAGGAAATGGGCCAACCCAGGACAGAGCCTGACGCAGACGCTCTCTACTGCAAAATCATCACCCAAGAACCCCCCAGGGACCAGGCTTCCAGGCCTTCTGTTAGCACCCACCCAACCTCTGCTGGCAACTCCGACACATGGATTATAGAGGATCGACTCCACGCCACTGTCATTTCTGCCCCCAAATTACAGTGTGGGTTTACAGACGAACCGTCTTTCAGTAGGTGACAGACAGGGGAGTGGGGAGGACAGGAAGAGCACTGTTACACCAGGGAGTGCTGGGACAGCACCTGGGGCAGTGACCACGTCCTCCCCAGGCACGTCTCTTCCCACCCTCACCACGCTGGCTCTGGCACAGCGGGACCCGCCTGGGTGGCACACACGTGGAGGGGCAGGCTGGCCATCACAGCACGCAGCAGCGAAACTGCCTTGGACTCCTGAGAGGCATCTGGGCCACTTGACTTGGGAGCCAGGCTTCCAGCACTGACGTTCCTCCTCTTGACTTCTACAACTTCCTGGGCTCCCGAGTGAACGAAGGCCTTCCGCTGGACACAGAGGCCTCCCACGCTGAGCAGCCCTGGTGCCACGCCCTTCCCCCTTGGCCTGCCCCTCTCATCTCAGGCAGCAGCAACCCGGAACCCTTCTGTCTGTGCCTCCCGTGGCTCCCCGCTGAACGGCTGGCAGGGGACAGTGCTGTTCACACCTATCCCTGCTACTGGTGGCCAGCCCCCAGAGCCTGCGCCAAGGCTGGCCCCTCCCGATCGCAGCAGACCCACTGCCCAGAGTCTCAGGGAGAGACGCACAGCCAGGAGAGAGGCTCAGTTTCCATCCGCGTTCTCTCCCTGAGACACCTCTCCTTGTGCTGGGGGACTTCGAGAAGTGAACTCAATTCTAAAAACAGAGGAGGGAACTTCCAGCAGTGGGCAGTGAGTCTGAAGAGCAAACCAAAGCCAACCACCACTTCCGGAAACCTAGAGCATCCCACAGGTTGGTGAGCTGGCCCAACCCTGCCCTGGAGACCCCGAAGGCTAGGGGACAGACACCAGGACCTCCAGAGACAGGACTGCCCGCCGACACGTGCCCCTGCCGGGCCCCTTACATGTACTGCTTCTGCTCCTCGTGGTACTGCTCCTGGCTCTCCATGTTCTGCTCTAGCAGCTTCTGGTTCTGCTGGCTCAACAGCTGGATCTGGCTCAGGAGGTGGTGATTCTCCTCCTCCAAGTTCCCCTTGAGCCGGGAAAGCAGCTGCAACACAAGAGACACCCGCTGCTGGGAAGGTGGCTTCCAAAGAAGGGACAGGCCAAGGGCACAAGGCTGTCAGGAGCTCGGGAAGAACCCGAGGACCAGCAACATGGCGGCGGGGCACCCAACACGCAGCTGGTCTACGTGCAGGGTGCAGCAGATGTCGAAGGCTGAATCTAGGAAAACAGAAATACCTCACTTGATCACTTTTTTGATTATATGTTGAAATGATGTTTTGGATGCACTGTTTAAATAAAACATATTATTAAAATTAAATCCAGCTGGGCATGGTGGCACACGCCTGTAGTCCCAGCTGCTCCAGAGACTGAGGCAGAAAGACTGACTGGCCCTCAAGGCCAGCCTGGGCAGCACAGCAAGACCCATAAAAAATTTTTTTCTTTCATTAAAATATTCAAGACACATTTTAAATGTGGCTACTAGAAACCTAAATTGTGTAAGTAGCTTGTGTCCTGTTTCCAGAGGGACAGCTTCGTTTTAGAGAGGGGCCATACACATTCTTCCCAGCCCTCCAGCACCTGTCACCGCCACTCGACTCCCCCTTGGGCAGTGTGGAAGCCCCATCGGCAACCCATCAGCGCACAGTGTGGCCACATTCCAACAAGGCCACTGACGGACACGACATTTAGAAGTTCATATCGTTTTCACTTGCCACGATATACTACGTTCATCTGACATTTCCCCAGCAAGACAGACGCCAAAGACCCCTGGTTTGTGGCAGGACAGAAACAGGTGGGGAGCGGGATCCGCCGTGGGCCGCAGCTCACCAGCTCCTGGGCTGGAATGCCACGTGGGACAGCAGGACAGCCACAGGTGCTGGAGGAGAGACCGGGCAACCCACCACCTATGAGGGACGAGGGTGGGGGGACCTGGCCCCTAAGGTCACCGTGAGGGTTAAATAAGACGCCCCACACAGGCAGAGGGCAAAATGCCTAGGACACCCTGGGTGGGAAGCCCGGTTCCCTGCTCTTCCCCCTCGGCAACTGTGACTGTGACTTCACTATCAACCACAAAACGAAAATTCCTCTTATCTTGGATTTTTTTTCTTGGCGGTGCTGGGGATTGAACCCAGGGACACTACCACTGAGCTACATGCTCAACCCTTTAAAATGTTCTTAGTTTGAGACAGGGTCTAAGCTGTTGGCCAAGATGACCTTGAACTTCTCTTGCCTTCGCCTCCCCATCGGCCGGGATTACAGGGGAGTGCCCTGAGCCCAGCTTATCTCGACTCTTATTACATGTGACCGATGAGTGTGCGACAGGCAGAACCGGAAGGAAAAGAAGGTGAGACTACAACCAGCAACTTCACTGAAAACGTCTGTGTGACTGCTGCCGAGATGCCGTTTGGGCAACACATAAAATGACTGTCATAGTCTCAGAGATTCCACAGATGAGACCAGCAGGGGGCTTGGCAGTGAGTGCACTGCCAACATGCAACTAGCTGGGGACAGAAGTCCATCCCTGGACACTGCCTCAGCTCCCTGGAAAGATCTGGGCGTGACCACAAGCCTCAAGGAACCCAGTGTCGCGGGCCTTCCCTGCAGCCCGAGCCCAGGGACCTCGGCCAACGATGACAGCACAGCTGCTCTTCCACCTCGTCAGACCCTGGCACGTCCCAGGAGCCAACCCAGAGAGAGGAGGGGGAGCCAGGGCTCTGGGCCACGGCTGCCAGGCCCCACTGCACTCTGTTTAGCTTCCACAGAATGATTCATGTCCCCCAAACGCACACGCTTGTCCTCGTCACTAGAATATAACTGCCTGGAGACAGGGCTCTCAAAGGGGGGATGAACTTAAAAGGCTGACGTGAGGGTGGCCCTGACCACAGCACTGGTGGCCTTGTGAGGGGGACGTGGACACAGACATACCACAGATGCACACGCACAGCCCACGTGTCAGGGAGAGGCCAGGAGCTGCATGTCAGCTCCCGACTGGGCACCAGGCTCCAGACCATGAGAAGTGAGCGTGCTGCCGGCCGCCCTGGGATCCCGTGAGGACGGCCCAGCAGGCTGACGTGGCTTCCACCTGGGCTCAGGGTACTCCCCTCGTTCCCTGCTGTGGCCCCCATCTGGGCCTTCCTATGACCTCACAAAACACTGCTCCCGTGCCCCGCCAATCCTTCAACCGTGGCGCAAGTGTGACCCACTGTGCGCGGCCTCCGCTGTAGCTCCTGACCTGGACGCTCCTCCTGACCCTCGTGCACCCATGACAGTGAAGTCCCTGGGGGCACGCTGTCCTCAAGGGGCCTCGAGGTGGGCGGGACCCATGGCCACCGGCCCCACTCCTCACCCAGGAACCCCACAGGGCACCAGGCCTGGGGCCTCATCCTCAGGGGCAGCTCACAGTCTGGCTGGGGGACTGCAGGCCTCGGTGACCTCGACTGGAAGTCTCCTGGGGCAACCTCGGGCCAGAAGAAAAGCCTCTGCTGCTTCTCAGCAAATGAAAGGCAGGAGGAACCCCGACCTGAGGTCACTGTCCCAGGGAAGCCCCATAGGGGGCAGGGCCCACCTGCCTCCCTGTCCTGGGGCCTATTTAAGATCCCACCTGAAGAGGGGACAGCAGCTCTGCTCTCAGCAAGCTGGGGACTCCAGAGCCAGCCCTCGCCTCCCCTGGACGCAGGGCCGGTCAGCTGGGCCCCACAGTGGGGTAACTGTGGGCCGTTCTGTGTGACAGGGGGACCTCAGGGGTGAAGGGTGTGGGGAGCCGCGCAGACGTGGGCAGAGCGACAGGTCACGCTCGCCCTCCTCTGCGGCCCTCTCCAGACCTCGGGGAGCAAAGGCCGGGCGAGGGGCTCTCCTGCCGTGTTCCTATCGGGAGGGCTCACCTCACAGTGGTTGTCCAGCTTGGTCAGCGAGAGGTCCATGCTCTGGTGCTGCTCCTTGAGCTCGTCGAAGCGCGCCTGCCAGCGGCTCAGCTCCAGCTGCGAGCTGTTGAGCGCCGTCTTCAGCTCCTTGGTGTGGGCATGCAGCTCCTCATACTCCCCCTTCAGCTGGTGGTGCAGGAAAGTGACCCTGCAGAGTGGAAAGCCACAGGGCGAAGGGGGTGAACAATGTTCCAAAGACAGACTGGCCGAGCCCAGGTTTCTGTCCCAGATCTGAGACCGGCAGGCTGTGCAACCTCAGACAAAGCCACAGCCTCTCTGGTCCCAGGTTCTTTTCACATGTGAAATGACAGCACTGAACAAAATTGCTGGTTTTTAAGCTGTTCAATGAGGGCACCCTAGCTAGTGCTGCCACACTGGGCCAGGAGGACTCAGTAGGCAGCCTCAGGCGTCGGCCTCAACCAAGCACCCCTGCTACTATCCCTTCTACATGACAACTCACCACACTTTGAGAAAAAGGATTCTGCTGTTAAAATTTTTTTTTTTAATTTAAACAAGGAACCATAACACTTTGCGCTAAAAGTTCATATCTGTGCCCAAAACCCCTTACCCAATTCCAAGCCCCTGATTTCAACTCCTAAGATACACAATATATGATGAGTTGACAAGACATGAATTATACAGATAATGTATATTATTTGTAAATAAGTATAAATACTTGTTATCCAAATCCACTAAAATTACTATGATCCTGATTTACGTTGGCCAACTCGGCTTAAGACTGACATGGGGAAGTGCAGATGGCGGGGGTGGGGTTGGGGTGCCAACGCAGACCCAGCCGGGGCTTGTCTGGCCTGTACACCGTTTCTCATCGGCACCCAGACGTGCAGCTCCTCCACAGAACACAGACCCGGTCAGGCCCAGACCCAGGTGGACCCGAGAGCCTCAGGCTCGCTCCCGTCTGCTGGAGGCCAGGGTGCCTGTGGGCTTCTGTTGGAGGACACCCCAGGGCACAGGCTCACAGCAGCCCTGCCACTCCGGCCCGGGAGCCTGTCTACCAGATGTTCTGCGCGGCTCCTTGTGGCCTTTTTGTGCTCGGGGACACCAGACCACCCTTCAGCACTGTCCCTGGGGGCGTGTGAAGCCATCTGGGAAAGGACTTCTGTCTGCAGCGGGAGGAGCGACAGGCAGGCAGAGCGCCACCCCGTGGGGCCACAGTGGCCTCTGGACTCTGGTGTCCATGCGGCCCTGGTGAGCAGAGGCCTGGCTGCTGAGGAGCCGGGGCGCCCACCTGTCCAGCTCTCCCTGCAGCTTCTGGTTCTCGCCCGTGGTGATGGCGTGTGTCCGCCGCTCCTGCTGCAGCGCCTCGCGCTCCGAGGTCAAGGCGCCCTGCAGCGCGTCCAGCTCTGCCTTCTGCTTCACCAAGTCCCCGTGCCTGTGGAGGGAAACCGCGGGAGTCTGGCTCCGGCCTTCCGGATGGCAGCTCACCCGACGACTCGGCCTCCAGAAAACAGGACTCCTCCAGAGGCCTCGGTGCAGGGGCAGGGGACGGGGCAGGGGGCGGGCCAGGGCCCAGCTTTGCATGCCTCACAGTCCTGCTTCCTGCCAAAACACCCCTCCTTCAGGCCAGCACGAGGTGACACCCTGAACTCCATGCCCTCCTCTTTTAGGGAATTACGAATCAGTTGAGAGGTGGCTCAGAAAGCAGGACAGATCCAGAGGAAACCACGAAACAAACAACACAAGTCCACCACACCCGGCCTCCCCTCGGCCTGCCCACGCCCTGCCCACCTGCGTCTGCTTATGCCCCATCAGGCCTCCTGGAGGAGCAAGGTCAGCCGCCAGCTGCTGACCAGCTGTGGCCCCTCCAGCCCTGGCCCTCGACCCTCCCCTAGGGCTCCAATTCCTTCACCCTCAATCCCCGTGGGCTGCACAGTCATTTCTGGGGGATGGAGTCCACGGCCAGCCTCAGCCTGCTCCGGACACACGTTTGGGAGACCCCAGTGTGGCCAAGGACAGAGCTGAGACGGCCCTCGCCCACCCAGGCCAGCGATGCCAGGAGAAATCAAACAAGGGGCACGGCTGACCAGGAGGGCTCCCGGGGCCTGCTCCCGTGACTCCGGGGAGGCCGCTGATGAAGCCATCAGTGACTCGCCAGCTCCGGGAGGTCTTCAGGAGTCCCCGGAACAACCGAGGACTTGTCCAACAAGACTACAGAGCCACCGTCCCTGGGTGGCTGACACCCACTCAAAAACCTGCGTCACTGCCAGGGACAGCCCGAGGCAGCTCCAGCCACCTGACCAACCGACAAAACATGGAGCAGCTACCAGCCGCTGCGCTGAGCAAGCCGCAGGCAGACGAGTGGCCTCGACCTGCAGGGCCAGCGCACTCCACCTCAAAGAGCTGCCCATGGCGCAAACAGAAGCCGCTGTCCTAACAGGAGGCCAGGAGTGAGACCCTCGCAGGACCCTCGGGCCCACATCCTGTCCATGTCCAGAGAGACACCACATACGTGGCAGGTGTCGCTCGGGTACGGTGGGAGGAGGGCGAGACGAAGGTGCAGAGGCAGGAGATGCATCTTTCAGCAGGAAGCGGGGAGGGAGGGGAAGGGGAGGGTGGAGGGAGCGGGAGGGTGAATCTGACAAGAGCAGTCACTTCAGTAGCCCTGAAGGACAGAGATGGGACACACAGGGGCCGGAGAGCTCCAGTCGAGGAAGAAAGGACACAGTGAGTAAAGCAGACCTCGTCCTCGCCACCCTCACGCCCACAGCTTTGTCAGCACCCGTTTTTCTGGGTCCTGTGATGGAAACTCTCACGTCAGCTGCCCGCTCCTGAAGGACCAGTGTCTGCCTGCCCGGCCGTGCTGCCCGCTGTACTAAAAGGCAACACTGCGGTAGCACCACACCAGCCCCGTGAGGGGCTTCCTCCTGGGGTTCATGGGCGTCTGGGGCCCCTCTGGGTGAGCCTCCCTCTGCATCTGACTGAGGGGCACTGAGCACATCCCCAGCCTCCGAGGCATCCCCCTCTCTGATCCTCCCCACCCGCCCAGGGGCCTGGCCCCTTGGTGGCTGACTCACTGGGCACAGAACCCAGGACCCACAGCTGCCGAGAGTGCAGAGTGAAGATCTGCACGTTTCCACACCTACACATTCTACAACCCCCCAAGAAACATTAAGATGACACGTGGGGGCATAGGGCAGGAGGCAGAGGAAATGGGGGGGCGGCGTGTGGTGACCACAGGAGAAGTGGCTGGGGCATTCCTGGCCCTAATCACACACCCAGAGGTTCACAGGTTTAGTTTTTTAAAAGTAAGCAAGCCAGGCCTTGGTATGCAGGAGAAGGCCCGAGGAGCCAGGGCACAGCCCTCTGCGCTGGCTGCTGTGGGGCATTCCCTCCTGATCGCCAGTGCGAGAGGACAGGGAGCCCAGGACACAACCCACAGGAGAAACGGCCTCACACACCCAAGCTGGGCTGCCTGGCGCCGGCACTAGCACCTCTACTCCCTTGAGGGCTCCCCCTGCCACTTGGTCCCCAGCTGCACAAACTTCAAAATGCTGAAGGTGACATTTTATTTCCTTCCCTTTGGGAAAGCGCAGGCGCCCCAACAATGGGCAACAGCTGGCCAAGAGGAAATGGGTGTAG